GCCTCCATGGAGCCTCCCCGCACTTTTCCAGAACTCCTTCTCTGGGGGTCAGCACTGCCCTCAACCTCCCACAGACAGGAAGGGCTCCAGGCCAGTGATGATGCCCTGATGGGGACGACAGGACAGTGAAACATGGCAGAGCCAGGGGCCAGGACTTGAGAGGACCCAGGCTGCCAGGGACCCTGCAAGCATTAGCTGAGCCCCAGTGTCCACTCTCCGTGGCTCCTCAGATCAGGATGCCTCCTGGAGGCCTTCAGGGCGCAGCCCACTAGGCTGGCCTCCGGCGGAGAACATACTGGGAGGGGAAACCCAGAAGGATGGAAGGCAGGAAACTCTATTGGACAATTCTAGGAGCCATGCACTGGACCTGCTGTTCTCCCATCCTTGATCCTGTCTGAGGCAGGTGTTACAATCATTCCCTTTTAGGGAAGAGGGCCTCACACAGCACAACCCCGAAGGGCTGTTCCCACATTGGACTGTGCATGTACAGTCTGCTCAGGCAGCCAGAGCAGCCCCAAAACAAGGTCCCAAGCCAGCGAGCGAGTCCAGGTCAGAGTGAAAGGTATATAAGCACCCTGAGCCTCCCTGTGCAGGCGGTGGCAGAGGCGGTGGCCAGCTTGTAGAGTGGTCAGGACCCCTGGATGGGGACAAGCAGGAAGGGGGCTAAGAGTGGGAGGCCCAGTACTCCCAGGTCTTGAAAGAACCCATTAGCTCTATTACAACTCTCCCACCCCATCCCGGGTCTCCCCGTCACTTGTCGGTCACTCTGCTGACTCTTGGTGTGTCTGTGCTGGGTCCTCAACACCTTGTACAGGCCTGGCACACAGTAGGCACTCCATGCTTACTGTTGGCACGAATAGTCCCATTAACTAATGTCTAAGTCTGGGGGTGGTAGGGGTCCCCAGGATGCTTCTAGACGACCCTGAGGATCTGGGTTGAGAGGACCAGAGAGAGAATCCCAGGGGCCAATTTCTGCCCAGCCCACGGGCCTCCACTTCACAAGTTGGCACCCAGATACATTTTTTTATCCTCATCTGAGAGGATATGTTCATTGACTTGAGAGAGAGAGAGAGAGAGAGAGAGAGAGAGAGAGAGAGAGAAGAGAGAAACATCAATTGGTTGCCTCCTGCAAGCTCCCTGATCAGGCATCAAACCCACAACCTCTGTATGTGCCCTGACTGAGAAGCAAACCTGCAAACTGTTGGTGTATGCGGACCATCTACTACCCGAGCCACCCGGGGCCAGGGCCTTTTTAATTGACTGGTAAAAACAGGAGGGTTGGCCAATTTCCTCAAAGTTGCCAGGCCCCTCCCTGGCCGGCAGAAGATAAGGGGGTAGAGATTGGGGCAGTGGAGACCAGACCCATTACACAAGGCAAAATCAGAAACTAGAAGGAGCTGCCTCTGGCCACTTTGTTGCCAGAGAGAATGGGTGTCTTTCCAGGAAAGCTGAGCCCTTGGTTTCCTGCCTTGGAGAAAATGGGGGTGCGAGAGTGTGTCATCTCAGCTGAGGGTGGAAAGGAGGTGAAAAGGGGAGTTCATCTCAGGAGGGGGTGGGATGGAGAGTAAACTATGACTATATCCCTGTCATGGACCAGCCGCTGCCCCTCTGCATCTCCCTCCCCACCTCCTCCAGGGCCCCCCATTGTTACCAGAGACAACATCCTGTTTCCTTCTGCTTACAGGGGGCAGGGATAGCTCAGGCCTCTGGTCCCAGGCCAGGTCCAAGGTTCTCACTGCGGGAAGACCGCACAGCTGTGGAAGCGAGGCTGGGAGGATGGGATGTGACTTACCCAAAATCACAGCCACTGCAGATGTGGGCCAGTGCTTGGTCAGGTCTCCATGGTGCCCTGGAAATTATACAATTTGGAGGTTCTCTGAGAAGCTGGAGGCCTGACTTCCCCTTTTTTGGCTCTCACATGGAGCACATACACAGCAGAAATGAAGTGAAACAAAAATAATTTAAAAAGAAAGATAACAATTCCTGACCTTTATTTGTGGTAAATAATAAAAACATGAAGCACATACGTTGAAATGACAGAACTTTTTTTTTTTTTTTTATAAATACTGTAAATGAGATGTAACCACGAAATGACATAAGTCGAGTCCGACATAACCTGAGGACTGCCTGTACCTTTTTATGGTTACAGACGGTTACCAGACCATCTATCTGATTAGGTATATAAATGTCAAATCACTATGTTTACACCTGAAATTAATAAAATATGGCAAGTCAACTAACCTATAGAATAAAAGCCCAGCGACCATAATGGCAAAATGACCACTGACCCATCACTATGAGGTGCACTGACCATCTCTCGGTCCTTTTCCCCTGATGGCGAACAGGGACCCAGGGGGTGGGTGGTGGGGGATGCGGGCGGTGCCAGGCCAAGGCCCCCACCTTGGCCTGGCACCGCCCGCATCCCCCGCCACCCACCCCACTGGTTGCTCCACACACAGAGGGCGGGGGTGGGGCCATCAAGCAGTTGGGACCGCTGGACCTCTTGGTCCTTCCCTGACACCCCCCTCTTCCCCCCCCTCGCTGTCACCCCCCTGACCATCAGGCTCCGATTGCCAGATGGCAAATTGGGAACCTGGGTGGGTGGAGGCAGGGGGTGGGGCAGACATCCTGAGAAGATGGCCCTGATTGCAGGCTAGGTCTAGGAACCAAATTTTGTGCGCTGGGCCTCCAGTACTTTAATAAAAAGAGCTTTCTATTCCAGAATAGTAGAAAGTAGAGCCACCTGGATATACGAATGCGGACAGTGAACTGTGATAGGAAAAGAGAAGTGGAGGATTTGGGCCAGAGTAACTAGAAAAGCTGCCACTTGCAGAGACGGGAAAGCCTTAGGGAAGGGCAGGCTTGGGAGGGAGAGCAGGCCATGCACCTGCGGCCATCCTAGGTAAGTTGCTCTCGCACGCTGAACCTCAGTCTCCTCATCAATGAGAATAGTAACTGCTCCCTTGCAGAGTGGTGGTGAGAACTGAGAGAGATCACGCACTCACCGCGTGGCACACATACCATGTTTCCTTGAAAATAAGACATCCTCCGAAAATAAGACCTACTTATAGGTTTCCTTCTGAGTGAAATATAAGGCATCCCCCCGAAAATAAGGCCCCCCCTAGGCTAAACATGAGAGATTTGGTCCACTGATTCTGGAAGAAATGGAGTCACAAGAAATTCAGGAATTGGATTGTTATGATGATGTTCCAAAAGATGATGACATGATTGTCATGGAATAAATGAGTAAATTCTTGATACTGTAGGATTCAGTTTGTCTGGTTTGTGTTGACAACTACCGTACTACCGTACCGTATACAGGTAATAAATTTCCTTTATTTTCATTTAACAATAAATGTGTACCATATTCTTCTTCATGGAAAAATAAGACATCCCCTGAAAATAAGACCTAGCGCATCTTTGGGAGCAAAAATTAATATAAGACCCTGTCTTATTTTCAGGGAAACGGGGTATGTACCAGGTACACCTCCCACCCTTGGCCCAGGGACAGCACATGGCCATCACAAACCTTCGGGAAGAAAGCGGAAGGAGAGGAATACAATGCCTACAAGTCTGCACTCTGGCTCCTGCTTCCCCCAGCGGGAAATGGACAGGCTCTTTAGATGGTTACGTTTTCTTTCTGTCTTTGGTGATTTTGGAAATGTGATGACGCCATGGGAGGCTGGTGGTGAAGCAATGATAAAGGATCATATTCCCAAGGCGAGGCTAACGTTTATGAAACACTCTCACAACTATTATCTCATCTGAGGCCAGGCAGGCCGAAATGATATCCACTTTATGAAATAGGGGAATGAGGTACACGTTGTAAAACAAAACAAACCCAGGAGACCTCTACAGCTTGCTGCCATGGGAGTTTAATTTAATCTTGGGGCTGGGGTTGTGGGGGAGTTGGTAGAGAAGAGGGTCCTGAAGTGGATATTCCTCTTCCTCAGCTGGAGTGCCGCCCAGCTCGTCCCAACTGGGCCCAGCTGTGAGCTGGACTGGGACCCCACTCCCCTGCCCCAGGGGAGGGCCTGCAAGTGCCTGCCCAGGTCCCGTTCTCCATCTCACCCACTGAGGACGCCTGGTGCGTCTGGGCTGCTGCAGTGTCACTGCTTCTGAGATGTGGGCAAGAGGGTCTCAGACACAGTCCCAGTCAGTCACTCCTCCCAGATCCCCCTGCCACCTCCTTTGGTACTGAGGTACCTGAGGAGGGGACTAGAGCCAGAAGAATCAGCGTGCATACAGCCACATCATTAGAACGTGCAGTCCGGGTTCCGTCTCCGAGGCCTGAACCCAGCCAGGAGAATTCCTGCATCTGTTCCTTCCACTTCTTGCGGCCCAGCTGCCCCCTCCCCTCCAGATAGATACCAGGTGCCAGCACACAGCTGTCTTTCCCTTGCTCCCCCCACCCTGGCAAGCTGTCCTGGGTGGGGCTGGGCTGGGTGGGGCAGCCCTGTGTCCTGAGTGTCCTGTGAAGTCGTGTCCCCACAAGCAAAGCCAGGCAGAGATTGCTTCAGAGCCGCGGCTCTGACCGGTAAGAGTTGCTGCCCACGGGAGTGGGGGTTTGGGAGGGTAAGGAGTGTCAGGTCAGGCTGGATCAAGGGCCCAAAAAAGAAAAGTTAGAATTGCCTGGGGAGGAAATTCTGATTGGATTAAGGGAGAAGGAATGGAGAATGTCCAGAGTGTGTGTGTGTGTGCAAGAGGAGAGGGTGAATAGAGAAGGGAAGCGTGCAAGGGGCTGTAGGAGCCCCGAAGACTGGGAATGGCGGGCTGCAGGCCCTGGTCCCAGCTTTCCTCTCCCGGGAGAACCCCTCCTGCCCCAGCCACCTCACCAACAGACAGAGCTTCGGGAAAGCAAAAGCAACCCATGAGTTGAGGTCAGGGGAGTGTGATGGGGGAAACTGAAGGGGGTGGGAATTCTGCCCAGCATCCCGTGTCTTTGCAGGTGAGGAGGAAGCCGGAGAGGCTGGATTGCCTTCCAAGTCCCTGACCCGGCCATGCCCGCCCCGCTGCTCCCGTTCCTGCTTCGGATGCTGCTGTCCCGCCTGCTGCTGCCCGCCGCCCGCCTGGCCCGCCGGCACCTCCTGCCCCTGCTGCGTCGCCTGGCCCGCCGCCTGGGCTCCTGGGACTTGCGGGAGGCTTTGCTGAGCTGTCTGCTGTTCCTCCTCAGCCAGAGACACCAGCCAGACTCTGGAGAGGCCTCCAGAGCGGCCCGCCCTGAGAGGAGGGAGAGGGTAGCCCCACAGAAATGAGGCCACGAATCCTGGTCACAGCAGGAACCAAGTGCTCTCTGTGGAGTAAGACGGTCCTGGCACCAGCATGGACCGAAGCCTGCCCAGTGGGCATTTGACACGGTTCGGGACTGAGCATGAGAGGGGTCTGAAGAAGACTTGCCTCCCGGGCCCAGCAGGAATGACTGGAACTATGCCCTGCCTCTTAGCAGAAAACTGGTCTGTATTTCCTCTCTGCAGGCCTCAGGGCCTTTACCCCAGACAAACGCAGGCATGGGGTCCTGGGAGGGACAATGTTTAACGCAGGGACAATTGACCATTTAGTGGAGAGGCGAGATTTTAACCCAGACTGTCTTTCCGACTGAGGATTTACCTTAAAAGCATGAAATCTTGATTTCCCCCACCCCCACCCCCACCCCACCCCGGACTCAGTCCCGCCCCAAAGCCCAGCATGCAGCAGGTGCTCAATAAATATTGTTGAATTTCTGGGGCGCCTTTGAAATTCTTATCAGCCGCACTCCTGCCGGTGCTGCCAGGCAGTCTCACCTGGCCAGGGCTGGGGGTGAGGAGCAGCTCAAGGCTTCCTCCGGCCCCACTCTATTGAGCCCGTCAGGCCTCATCTCCCGGAAGCTTCCTTTTGTCTCACTGCCGTCCGCCCCCCTCTGGCCGCAGTCCTGGGCCTCTCTCTCGGTGAGTTGGGTTGTCCAGCTCCCGGTAAGGAGGAAAATGTCCCTGACTGCGTTAGGAGCCTCTTCTCGGCTCCTGCTGGCGGGAAGAGGGGGGTTTGTTGGCTGAGGGGCCCCGTGGGCAGCAGTGCAGACATGCCTGCTCCTGAGGGGCACTCTGCGGGCAGAGAGGCTGCTACTGGCAAAGGGGTGCGGGGGGGGGGGGCGGGGAAGTGCGGGGGGGGGGGCGGGTACTGAGGAACTCAGCCCCTCATTTCCTCCTCCCCAGCCAGTGGTCCGGAGGTCCGTCAGGGGCCAAAACAAAGAGTGGCCAAATGTATTTGCATCTCAACCTCCGGGTCATTTGTTTAGGCTCTTCCAGCCATAGTTCTTCTCCTCCTCCTCCTCCTCCTCCTCCTCCTCCTCCTCCTCCTCCTCCTCCTTCTCCTTCCACAAGCTCTGGGGCCTAGAGAGGAACAGAGGCATCTCACAGGACCCCATCTTGTCCCCACGCCTGGCAGAAGCCAGGGCCGGGGAAGACCTGAGGCCAGGGCTGTGAGCCCCACTCCGGTGCTGCGGGCTTCCCGCCAGCCCACCCCCTCCTCCCCGCCGGCCTGCGTTTCCCCTGGCGTCCTCAAAGCCCGCGCACGTGCTTGCCCCTCGGGCAGGCAGCCTGGGGGAGCAGCGGGGTGCAGGGGGTGAGAGCCCCTGGTCCCCTGACCGTCCCCTCCGAGGCCACAGGAGCTTTTTTCTTTTTTTCCTGCGTGGGGCCTTGCTCCCGGCCTCCCTTGAAGCTGGCCTCACCGCCGCCCGGCTCCCCGGAGCGCTCCCGGATCCCGAGCTGCTGGCGGGGACAGAGCGGCCAGGGACCCCGGATGGCAGGACCCGCCAGACCCGGCGCGGGCCGGGGTCTCCGGCTCCGGCTCCTACCAGCTCGGGCCGCCCCTCCCAGGGCTCCGCCGGGGTGCGAGGAGCAGTGGCGGGGTGGCCGGTCTGCGCTGGGCCCCGGCGGAGGGTGCCGGTGGAGGTGGGATGACCGTGGATGGGAACCTGCGGTTTCTGGCAGAGGGCAGACCTTCCTGGAGCTTTGCCCCAAACGCACACTGACCACGCCAGGTCGGAAACCCACCCAGGGCAGAGGAAGGGGCGAAGTTCTGAGGAATTAGGCAAGCGCACAAGGGCAAGCGCAGGCCCCTGTCCACTCTCCAGGGCCCTGAGTCTGACCCTGAGCGGGCCAGATCCTGTCTTTATTTTAAACGTTGATGTTTTGTCCGTGGATATTTTTCATTAACTACGATTTTTTTTTAAAGCATTTCATTAAAATATTATTCATCTTGATTCCTGAATTTTTTGGCACCACTCCCCCCCCCCCCCCTTAAAATTTTGCATCTCAGGCAAGTACCTCCCTGGCCTTGCCCTAGTCCCAGCCCCACCATGGAGACGTAACCACAAACACAACTGACAGCACATCCAGTCATGAGGCGTGTGCTGGTGACAGGACGCCGGGCCCGCCAGCACATTTCCAGCAAACAAGGCCAGAGGGAGGCCGCCTCGGGTGATGGAGTCTGCGACGAGCCACAGTTTCAAATGGTGTCCCACCCCACTCCTGTTGCCAGGGACCTGAGGGAGCCCAGGCATGGGGGCTGAGACCTGAAATTCTCCAGGCACAGGCTGGGACAGTCGGGCTCTGGGCTGTCCAGCAGGGGGCCTTGGCACTCAGGGTCATCTCTGCCCAGAGAAGTGGCTCTGGAGGGCAACCGGGGCTGGCAGGGGTCCCAGGCGGGGCGAGTGCCAGACGGGCTTCTGTCCAGCAATAACAGCCCTGGCTGTTGCCATCTAGGGAACAGGCCAGGCTTGCGCAGGGGTGGAGAGAGGAACCAGCCCTCCCCCATTCTGGCCTAGAACCCTCACCACTTCCCTCCAGTTTTTTCCAACTCCAGCCCCCTTTGCACACAACTGCAGCTATTGGCCTCCAGCCTAGCCATGCCTGGCGGATCTCTCTGACCACTAAGGCCTGCCACCCCCACAGGTCCAAAGCCCGTCAACAGAGGTGGGGAAAGATACAGGGGCTAAGAAAGAGGGCAGAGGAGGGCCCGGAGAGGAAGAGAGAGAGACTGGACAAACACAGGGTAGGAATGGGGGGGGGGGGGACGATCCCCATTAAGCCATGGTGCAGTGCCTACAAAAATACCACCAATACCCCACTTCCTGCCCTCTGTTTGGGTAAGACTGGGGGATGATGGTGTGTCATGTTTCTGTGGGACAAACAGGGTAGCTTGGGGAGTGTCCACTGATCCTTTTTAAAAAAATATTTTTTATTGATTTTTTAGAGAGGAAGAGAGAGGGATAGAGAGCTAGAAACATCGATGAGAGAGAAACATCGATCAGCTGCCTCCTGCACACCCCCCACAGGGGATGTGCCCGCAACCAATGCACATGCCCTTGACCAGAATGGAACCTGGGACCTTTCAGTCTGAAGGCTGATGCTCTATCCACTGAGCCAAACCGGTTTTGGCTCCACTGATCCTTGAGTGGCAAAGCTACTCCTCCCCTGGGGCCCAGTCTGATCTAGGGAGAGGGTGTGACTCTCCTATCCTTAAGACATTGGCAATGCTAATTGTTAGTGTCTGTGGCTTCTCCAGAGGACAGGCCCCTTGGGCGGAGGGGGTGGGGTTGGGGACTGCGTTGGATTTTCTCTTCAGCACCTCTCTGCCTTTGGATTGTCCTCCAGCACTGAGCGCTGCTGTGGGGGGCAGTGAGTTCCCTCTCCCCCAAATTTATTAACCTGCAAAAATGGAGGGGATCCCCTCCCCTTCCCTTGGAGGTACTAGGACTGACCACTCCTCAGCATGTCCACCCCCTCATCCTCCCATGGTGGAGGATGTGGGGCTCAGCAAGTTTCCGTCCCTGCCTCTGCCAGGAAATAGGATTCACTCAGGATGTAAGGCTGTTTGCTCCCGGCTTTTTTTCTCTTCCCATCCCCAACTGTGTGCCTCCGTCTTTCCAAAGATCTGAATTTAGAAAGGGTGAATCATGAGGGGGCCATGGGGCTGTGCCTCCACCCATCACCCACACACAGAGCCACACGCCCCTCTCCGAGGCAGAGCTGTGGGTGGCGTGTTTGTGCGGACCTCTGGGCTGTGTGTGTCAGAGGGGAAAACCCACCACCACGCAGGTCCCTGATTACACCCGTGTTGTCGGAGGGATCCCAGGCCTCAGTGGGTGTCGAGGGCGGGAAAGCAAAGATCAGGACGGACAGGAGTGAAAGGAAGTAAAGGCGCTGAAAAGGAGGGGTCGCTGGAGAGGAAAGGGGTGCAGCGTGGACGAAAGTGGAGCTTTCGGCGGGGGTGGGAGGTTGGGAGTGATAAGGGGAAGGCCAGGCGCCTTTGGAGACAGTGTGGATTGGAGCTGGAGGAGCCCGGGCCTGTCTGGCAGGTATGTCGGTGGGAGGGCTCGGGGAGGAGGGGTGTAGGATTTGTGTAGCCCCGGCACCGAGGAGATAGGGGGACCCCTGTGGGGCTGCGCCCTCCAACGCCGCAGTCCTGGGCCTCCCTGCTGGGCAGGCTTTGGCGCAGCCGGGCCCGCAGAGGGCCTGGCCCCAGGACGAGGGCGAGGCGTGGGTCAGCCGCCCTGGGGGCGAAGGTCTCGGGTCGCGCTGTCCCGCGGGGATCGGGAGCCTCCGCGGGCTCGGCGAGGGCAGCCCGGGGCGGCGCCGCGCGGAGGCGGGGAGAGCGGGGCGGGAGCGGCGGCGGGGCGGGGGGCGGGCGCGGCGGGGGCGCGCCGGGGCGGGCCCGGCGGAAGGCGGGTTTGAATGCGCAGCGGCGGGCGGGCGCGGGAAGCGGGGCAGAGCGCGCGGACCTCTGCGCGGGAAGAGTCCGGACTGCAGGTGCGCCCGGGGCCGGGGAGCGGGGAGCGGAGAACGGGAGGCACCGCGGTCCGCCTGCCACGAGGCGGGGATGTCCTGCGGGGCCTCAGGCGCACGCGTGGCGAGTCGCTCAGCACGTGGCGAGAAGAGGGGTGTGGGGGGGGGAGAAGGGCGCAGCGTGGCTGAGGGGGTCGTGGGAGGGGGGCCTGGGCAGGGCGGGTGACTGGCTCCGGGGCCTGAAGCCGGCGGCCGTGGCGCTGACCTCCGCAAAGGGCGGGCGGGCGGGCCGGTGGGGAGAGGGGGCGCCGGGAGAGGAGAGGGGGCGCCGGGGGCCATCTTCGTTAACCTGGAAGGGAGAGGGGGCGCAGGGGGCCATCTCCGTTAACCTGGTGGGAGAGGGGGCCCCGGGGGCCATCTCCATTAACCTGGAGGGGAGAGGGGGTTCCGGGGGAGGAGATGGGATGGGGCCGAAGGCGCGGAACAGAGGCGCTGTCTCCTGAACCACCGCTTTCATGGACCGACTCGTGTCCCCAGCCTCCCCTGCGGGATGCGGCCCCGTTTACTCCCAGAGAGAGGACCTTCTTCATCCCAGGACACACACACACACACACACACACACACACACACAGGCTTTCTTCCCAGGGAGAGCTGGTCCCATCCTGCCCCTCACCCCTTCGGGGCGGTCCCCCTGCCCATTTCCCTGGTGGCCTTTAAACCCTCCCTCTTCCCTCCTGCCCTCTAGGCCAGGATGTGGGCCTCAGGGGAGAGGGGTGCTTACACTGGACACTCCTGTCACTCCTTTCAGGCTGGAGGTGACCTTGGCTGCCACCTTATTTCCCCCCTTGCTTGGAGAGCATCCCCACCTCCCAGTGCTAGCTGGGAAGCAGGCTTCACACATACACACACACACACACACACACACACACACACACACACACGCAGCCTAGAATAAGCTGCTCCCTGAGCCTGAGTTCCAGCCCGCCCCTTCACTTGCTCTGTGGCTGTAGGCAGGAGGCTCAGCCCCTCTGAACATTAGCGGCCCCACTCTGCTCAAAGGAGACCGTGGAGAACTAGCCTTGGTGGTTATAAGGGGAAAAGGGGGCGCCCTCTGCAGGCTGGCCTTATAGAGGGTCCTGGCGAGCGGAGCATTGGACCACCCCAGAGGTGCGCCTGGAAGCTGGGGTGCAGGAGAGGAGCAGGGAGCCTGAGTTTGGTGGCCGCTGTCAGGGCCCCACGTAGGGGGCAGGCCAAGGCATGGCTGGAGGCACACCCGATGCTCTGAGCTGGTATCACATCCCCGTTCGCTGCCGGGCAAAGGCAGGCAAGAATAAAGCACCTGGGCCGGCCTGCGGAGTGCCAGGATGTGGGCAGGGGGTGGGGCTACCCCCGGAGTTGCATTGTACCCGGGAGGGAGTGGGAGGGGTTTAGGGGTTCCTGAGAACAGAAAGCAGGGGTGTCGCTGAGGGGGGAGACAGAAATTCATATTCCCCGGAGCCTCAGGCCGATTTCACTGAGGAAACCGGCCCGGGGGCCTGCGCTGCCAGGAATCTTGCCTGCGGGTGTGGAGAGCAGCACTGCGCGAGCTGAGGCGCAAGGCTGGGATTCCCCCTCCCTGGTCCTGAACAGAAAACCCGAGTCCTGAGCCTGCTCTGCCCATTCCCTCCTCCCCCCTCTTGCCCTCATCCCTCCAGAAAATGTACAAAGCTCTTCACCACTCTACCCGAGTGCCTGGCCACCCCGCAAAGGGCCTTGGGAAATGTCTGTGGTTTTAAAGGGTGAACGGAAGCTGAGACCGGTTTGGCTCAATGGATAGAGCGTCGGCTTGGGGACTGAGGGGTCCCGGGTTCGATTCCGGTCAGGGGCATGTACCTTGGTTGCGGGCATATCCCCAGTGGGGGGTGTGCAGGAGGCAGCTGATCGATGACTCTCTCTCATCGATGTTTCTAACTCTATCCCTCTCCCTTCCTCTCTGTACAAAAATCAATAAAATATATTTAAAAAAATAAAAATAAAAAAAAAATAAAGGGTGAACGGAAAAAGCCCTCTGCCTCCAGATGGAGAGGTGCGGGTCTGCCCCTCCCCTCCCTGTCCTATGTCCCAGCTGCACCCAGGTGCGGGTGACTTCCTGGGGTGGGTAGGAGAGCCCATGGAGGGTATGGGGTCCCTGAAGGGGTCAGTCTCGGGCTGGGACCGAGAGCACTGACTGTACCTGTGAGTGGACCCGCTCCCTCCGCCCCCCTGCTGAGGCTGCTGGCTCTGTTATCTCCCCAGCTGCAGGGTGGCTTTTTATCTCCCTGGCCGAGGGTGTGTGTGAGGCTTCTCAGAACGGGGCAGCTTCCTCCCACCTCAAGGCAAGGGGGATTCTCTGCCCTGTGCCACCGTCTTCATTCTGGACCCTTCCCCAGGAGGAGCCCATGGACAAGGCCTGCCTGCGCGGGAGCTAGGACCACCTCCCAGGGACTGCCCAGCCTCGGCGGCTCTGTCCCTTCTGCTGGCAAGCCTGGGCTTCTGGTGAGTGCAGGCCCGGGCGGGCGGCGCGGGCGATGAGGGAAGCCAGTCCTCCTGGCTCCAAAACAAGCCCTCACTTGGGGAGGAGTGGGGTGGAGGGAGGTGGAGGGGTGCAGCAGCACATTTTATCTGCTGGTGCCCAAGAGGTCCCAGCCAAGGAAATAACAGGGTGGGGGGAACAGGAGAGGGACACTGGAGGGGGGCGGGTAGGAACTTGGGGACTATGCAGTCAGTCAGGCCTGTGCCTCCACCCCCCAATCTTCCCTGCAAGCTTGCTTTGAGAAAGAGGAAGAGTGCAGAGGGGCATGGGAGTGAGAGAGGAACCAGCGGGGGATGGGGTGGCCCGGGCCAGGACTGGGGGCCAGGGGAGGGGACATGCGAGGCTGTGGGAAAGGCTGTGTCCCGCGCCCATCGGAAAGTGTTTTCCTGGAAAACTGACCCGGGACTGGGAAGCCCCAGGGCGGTAGCTGGAAAGGAAGGTCCAGGTGCCACCAGCAGAGAAGCTGGAGCCTGGGGCGCCTCCAGCAGGCCACAGGTTCTCCAGAGCCACCCTCGCCACGAGTCCAGGGAGGGCGGGAGGGCAGGAGGGCAGGCCGCTGGCTCGGCCCCAGCCGTCGTCCCTGTGGCTGCTGCTCTTGCAGATGTCAGCTTGGTGCCCCCTCCCCCTCTCCACTCTGTCTCCCTTCTGTTTCCCTCCTCCGGTCCCTCCTTCCCCTGTCGTCACTGTCCCTGACCCCTCTCATCCTCTCCCCTGCCTTTGCCTGTCTCTTCCCTCCCTCTCAATCAGACGTCCTCCACCTTCCCTCCTGCTCTCCACCCTCCGGTCTGCCAGCTTACAGACGGCTTTGCTGCTGGGTAAAAATAGCAGTGACAGTGGCCAGGCCAGGCCTGCTGCCAGGTAGAGCCAGAGCAGGCAGGGGGGCCTGACGGGACCAGCCAGAGGGGTCAGGCTGAGCAGTCCTGAGAGGCAGGGCCAGGAGGGGTCCTGCTGGGATCCGGGTTTTCAAGCTCTGTCTGCCCTGCCCCCCGCCGACACCCCAAGAGTCTGCAGAGGCCTGAGGGGAAACAGGACACGGAGACAAGGCCTCTCGCACTGCCTCAGAGGGAGAGAGCACTCAGCCAGGCAAAACCAAGACTGCAGTCACCATGACAACCAGTCACCAGCCTCAGGACAGGTACGGGGAGACCTGGGCTGGGGGCCCAGGGGTGTGGAAATGGGTCTCTAGAGGGCTGGGTGCTGCTGACTGGCCTCCCCGCCAGAGGGCTATGAGTCAGGTCTGTCTCAGGGGTGGGGGCCATGCCTGCCCTGGGGTGCTGACAGGGGTGTCTGTGGGGAGGGTCAGGGTGGGTGAGTGACAGCTCCTCCCTGGCCTGTCAGTTTTTCCGCTGTTGCTCTCCAGCCGCCCCGGCTTCCGGCCTCGCCACCGCCACGGGGAGGCATTTGGCAGCGCCCCTCACTCCAGAGCACATCTGGCAGAGCTGCCCCTTCTGCCCCTCCCTCGGGGCTTCTGTCCCACATGACCTTGGCGCTCCAGGTCCTTGCTCTGACCTTCCTCTCCCTTTTGCACCTCTGGGGCCTGTGACTCCCTCTGGTTTTGGGGGAAGAGGCTGTCGCTTGGTCCACCTTCTCCAGGGAGTCTGAGACCCAAGCAGGTTGATGAAGTCAAGTCTCAGGTCCAAAGCTCTTCACCCCTCCACCTCTCCCTCCCGTGCCCAAAGCCACAGAACCGTTCTATTTCTGGCTGTGGGTCCTGGGGCACTAATCCCCCTGGGACCCTTTCCCACCTGTGGTCTGTTTGGATGGGCGAGGATTTGAGGGGACAGAAAGTACAGGCCCCAGGTTGCTGCTCTCCCTACTCCCAGGCTGCTTGTCTGCCCCTTCCCAGCCTCACTGCTCCCATCTCCGTCACCTGTTGCACTCATCCCGCTCCTCCCCTAGCCCTTTCCTGTGTGACCTTGACTGGGAGTCTCTCTCTTCGTTTTGGGTCTCTGAACCAAGCCCTTAGCTCTCTGTTTCAAGGGAGTAAGAGGGAGCTGGGGACTGCAGTTGTAATGACTCAGACCTGCCCCGTGAGGGCGCTCACCCAGGCCCTCCCTGGGTGAGGCCAGGCACTGCGCTCTGGCCAGACCTGCCCTCACTGCCCTGCCGCCTGTGAAGAAAGCAGCCGGTGGCTGTCGGGAGGGCATGGCAGACACATAGCGGGAGCACCCAGGGCTGCCTGGGAGAAGCTGGCCCGTCCCAGACAGGCCCTGAGGTGTGGGACGTGGGGTTGACCTGGCAGAAGCAGGGGTGGCACTTATTTACACTCCGGGGCCCAGACGACGGTCAGTGGCCGAGTCCGTCCCGGCCCAGCCTGGGCGGTGTGACCTACAAAGCCGGTTCTGTCTGGGCCTGGAAAAAACAGCTTCCTCATTTCCCAGCTGCCCCCGGGCACCTTGCCTGTCCCGCTAGATCCAGAACGGTCTGGGAGTTTCTCGACCTCAGAATTCTCTTTGGGGAGCCGCATGGTCCCCAGCCAGGCTGCATCATCGCCTCCAGCCAGCCCTGTGGGCAGGGGCGGGAGACACTGCTGTTTGCTTCTCATTCCCCCGCCGCCGCCCCTCCCTGCCCCCTCCGCCCCCCTCCTATAGAGCTGCATTTCCCAAACCGCCTCCAGATGTGTGGATCTCACTGGTTCCCAAGCCTGCAGGGTCCCCTGAGTCTTCGGGGACTGAGAACCACCGTCCTGTGGCCATGTCCTTCAGCCTGTGTCCCTCCTCCTCCTCCTCTTCCTCTGGACACAGCTGGGCCTGTTCCCTCTCCCAGGACACCTCCCCCTCCACAAACACGGAGGAGGACACATGCACTTGGACACAAACACAGATGCCCTGTGCCCTGGGATGGCTGGAGAGCCTGAAGGCAGGAGGGATGGGCTTCTTCTGACGTGGGAAGGGGGTGGGATGGTGGGTCACTCGGCTCCTCTTTCCTCTCCCCTCCCCAGGTACAAAGCCGTCTGGCTTGTCTTCTTCATGCTGGGCCTGGGGACCCTGCTCCCCTGGAATTTCTTCATGACAGCCACTCTGGTGAGCCTGGGGGCATGTCCTCGGGGCAGGGAGGGCCTGGACCTGTGCCCATGGGCACTGGGCGAGTGCTCTCACTCTCCACCCTGCACCACCCCCCTCTCCCCCCCGCAGTATTTCACAAACCGCCTGGGCCAGGCCCAGAACGCGTCCTTGGCCGCTGCCGACCTGAGCAGGGACAGCCAGGTGCCAGCCACGCCTGCAGTACCCTCTCCAGATCGGAGTTACCTGAGTTCCATCTTCAACAACGTCATGACCTTGTGTGCCATGCTCCCCCTGCTGATCTTCACCTGCCTCAACTCCTTCCTGCATCAGCGGTGAGCGCCCAGGCCCAGCCTCACCCCCGACTGCCCCCCCCCCCCCCCCCCCCCGCCCCAGCACCCGGGGCCGAGCCCCTGCCTTCACCACCTGCCTCTCTGCCGCCCCGGCCCCTCCCGCAGGATCCCCCAGTCCGTGCGGATCCTGGGCAGCCTGGTGGCCATCCTGCTGGTGTTCCTGGTCACGGCCATCCTGGTGAGGGTGCACCTGGACGCCCTGCCCTTCTTCATCATCACCATGGTCAAGATCACGCTCATTAATTGTAAGCGGGGCTGGGAGGGCGCCAGGGGCAGAGATCTCCCCACATCTCCCACCCTTCCTTCGGACCCACCGTCAGAGAAGAGCTCATTCCAGCCCCCAGAGGCATGGTTGCCGTGGGCAGGGAGGGGGAAGGGGCGGAGAGAAGGGCCACTGGGCAGCAGGACCCCTGGCAGTAGAGCAGGAGCGACAGGAACCTGTTTTCCCATGGGCCCCAACAGCCCCCGGCGGAAGTGAGTCCCACTCTGCCCGCACCCCTGCTGATGCCCACCCTGTTCCCCCAGCATTCGGTGCCATCCTGCAGGGCAGCCTGTTTGGTCTGGCCGGCCTCCTGCCCGCCCACTACACGGCCCCCATCATGAGTGGCCAAGGCCTGGCAGGCATCTTCGCCTCCGTGGCCATGATCTGCGCCATCGCCAGTAAGTCTTGCCGTCTGTCTTGTCTGCCCTTCTGGTTTTTGCGTGGGGAAGGCCCGGTCTTACTACTGACACCCTCCACACCCCAGGTGGCTCAGAGCTGTCAGAAAGTGCCTTCGGCTATTTCATCACAGCCTGTGGGGTCATCATTTTGACCATCATTTGTTACCTGGGACTGCCCCGGCTGGTGAGCGGAAGGAGAAAGTGGGGGTTTGGGGTCTGGGGAGCCCAGGGCTCTGGGCTACCGGTGTTCTGAGACTGACGCCTGGGGGAGGCAGAGATTCTGGAGATCCCGTTTCTGAGTCCGCCTTTGTCTTCCTCACTTGATAGGAATTCTACCGCTACTACCAGCAGCTCAAGCTCGAAGGGCCTGGGGAGCAGGAGACCAAGCTGGACCTCATTAGTAAAGGTCTGAATAGCCCGAGGAAGCGGGGGTGGAGGAGGTCCTGGCAGGGGGCAGCTGAGCACAGAGAGCAGGGATGGGTGCACTGTATTTAGGGGCAGAGATGAGGCAGAGGGACCAGGGGTGGGGGGAGGGGACACTGGGAAATAAGAGCTGTGAAAACTGAAATAGGGGGAGGGCCTGAATGGGAAGCAATTTCAGATTCTGGGACAGGTGTAGCGTGAGCTGAGGCTCCTGGGAGCGGTCAGGACACGGACTGGCACTGTGAGGATCTCCGGGTCTGTGCTGGCTGTTAGGGTGCCCTGTGCACTGTGAAAGGAGGTGTCCACCCCCACCTAACCCCAGCCCTCTTGGGGAATGTTTGTCATTTCCTGTTGCTTTGTCTTTCCTACAATTTGGAAATCCTTCCACAACCTGTCACCCCCAGGAGAGGCGTCAAGAGCAGGCAAAGAGGAGTTTGGAGTTTCAGCCCCCAAATCTCAGCCCAACAACAAAAGCTCAGTCCGGGCCATCCTCAGAAATGTGCGTGCCCTCTCCCCTCCCCCTTTCACCCCCCACCATCCCCACACAGTCCATCCATCCCTCTCCAGCCACTCTCCTAGATGTGTGTGTGTGTGTGTGTGTGTGTGTGTATTTCTGTAATGTATGGCTGGTGTGCATGTGTGCGTGTGTGCGTGTGTGTGTGTGTGTGTGTGTGTTTCTGTAATGCATGGCTGATGTGTGTGTGTGCGCGTGTGTATTTCTGTAATGCATGGCTGGTGTGCGTGTGTGTGTGTGTGTGTGTGTTTCTGTAATGCATGGCTGGTGTGTGCGTGTGTGTGTGTCTGTGTGTGTGTGTGTGTTTCTGTAATGCATGGCTGGTGTGTGTGTGTTTCTGTAGCTGGTGTGTGTGTGTGTGTGTGTGTGTTTCTGTAATGCATGGCTGGTGTGTGTGTGTGTGTCTGTAATGCACAGCTCTCATGAAGACTGGACCTGGGCCCTTTCCTCCAGATTTTGGTCCCAGCTCTCTCCGTCTGCTTCATCTTCACCGTCACCATCGGGCTGTTTCCCGCTGTTACCTCTGATGTCAAGTCCAGCATTGCAGGCGATAGCGCCTGGGGTGAGGACACCATGGCTCCCAGGGTGGGGTGGACAGGCGTGGGGAAGAGAGACCTGGGCTGCCATCTCCCCGCTGGTCTCTCCCGGTCCACTCACCCTGCCCTGGGAACACTCGGGCCCAGGAGGGTCAAGGGTGCTGAGTCTGCCCTCCCCTGATGGGTTCCTCCTTCCCCAGGACACTACTTCATCCCTGTGTCCTGCTTCCTGACTTTCAATGTCTTCGACTGGCTGGGCCGGAGCCTCACAACCATAACCATGTGGGTAAGTGGGTGCAGAGGGCACCGAGCCCCGGTGAGAGGCGAGAGTCCACCCTGAGCCCCGTGAAGCCCACCAAGAGAGTATGGTGACGCGGGAAGCAGGCTTTTATAAAGCCCAGACATTCTGTATAGCGAGGTGTACAAGTCTTAAGTATACTGCTTAAGGTCTACACACACATCCCCCTGTATAATCACCTCCCAGGTCAAGATGGAGACCACCCCCAGCATTCCAGAAGGTTCCACCCTGCCCCCCTCCCCATCGGTCCCCATGAGGGTAACCCGGCGTTGAGGTTTCAGTGCAGACCCCGGTGGGGTGGGGGGGAGGCCTGGTGGCCGCCCGGCTGAGACCCCGCCTGGTCCCCCTGCAGCCTGGGAAGGACAGCCGCTGGCTGCCGAGCCTGGTGCTGGCCCGGCTGGTGTTCGTGCCGCTGCTGCTGCTGTGCGATGTCCAGCCTCGCCAGTACCTGACCGTGATCTTCGAGCATGACGCGTGGTTCATCTTCTTCATGGCCGCCTTCGCCTTCTCCAACGGCTACCTCGCCAGCCTCTGCATGTGCTTCGGGCCCAAGTGAGTGCCTGGTGGGGCTTCACGCTCCAATGGGGGACACTCCACACTGGGGAAGGGGAAGGTGACCAGACGTCCCGCTTTGGGCAGGACAGTCCCGATTTCTAACCATTTGTCCCGCGTCCCGTGGCGTTTTAAAACAGTCCTGATTTTTGGATCCACCGGACATGGGACAAGTGGTTAAAAATCAGGACATCTGGTCACCTTAGGAAAGGACCAAGGAGCCTCCCTTATCTTTTTCTTTTTTTAAAAAAATATATTTTATTGATTTTTTTTACAGAGAGGAAGAGAGAGGGATAGAGAGTTAGAAACATCGATGAAAGAGAATTATCGATTAGCTGCCTCTTGCACACCTCCTACTAGGGATGTGCCCACAACCAAGGTACATGCCCTTGACCGGAATTGAACCCGGGACCTTTCAGTCTGCAGGCATCGGCTCTATCCATTGAGCCAAACCGGTTTCGGCAAGCCTCCCTTACCTTGGTGCTGAAGGACTCCAGGCCGAGGAGCCGGGCAGGGAGGGGCACCCGGTTGTGGTCGGGAGTGCAGGCTTGGGGTGCCCAGGCTCACGTAGGTGGGGTGTGGGAGGGGACTCTCGGGTAAGGAGGCAGGCAGTCCCCCGGACATGTTCCCCTGAGAGGGAAAAGCCAGATTGGGGTTGGGGAGGTGGGATGGGTTGGTCGGGTGCTCAGGCAAAAGTCTCCCCACGCCGGTGCTTGGAGGGGCCGGAGTCGGGCCATCCTAAGGCAGCCTCGCCTCCCTCCTCTAGGAAAGTGGAGCCGGCTGAGGCGGAGACAGCGGGGGCCATCATGGCCTTCTTCCTGTCTCTGGGTCTGGCGCTCGGGGCTGTGTTCGCCTTCCTGTTCCGGGCCATTGTGTGACCCCGGATGCACAGAGGACTGCACTGGCCGCCTGCTCCTGCCCCTTCCTTCCTTGTCCTTCAGGGACGGACGGGGGTGAGCTGGAGGTCTGCTCTCCTAGCTGAATTCTGCTTTCTCACGGCCTGTGCTGTGCCCGGCGTCCAGGCCTGAGGAGGGAGCCTCTGGGCGGACAGTTGGACAGGGGGACGTTGTGGGCATTGCGGGTCAGTGTCGAGGGAGGGGACACAGTCCCTGCATATGTTGAACCCCCCCTCCCCATCCGGCTCTGATTCCCACTTGAGCAGAGAGAAGAGTCTCCTAGGCTCAGAGAGCGTGTGTGTGTGTGTGTGTGTGTGTGTCTGTATGTTTGTCTGTCTGTACCAGGGCTGGCTAGGGGCCAGGACTGTCTGTTCTAAGGTCCAGTCTGATATTGCACCCCTCCCTTCTCCCTGCACCTCCTCCCCAAGCCTCCCTGTCCCTTCCCTGCCCCCACCCCTCTCCTGCCTGCCTTGTGTCTAACTATCATGTATCCTGTACAGATGCTATTTTACTGCCTTTTTTATACTCAACAGAAACCAGGTGCCGTCAGAGGCTCTCTGATTAAATAAACCATTGTGTGTTTTTTCCCCCGTGGCTCTGTGCCTGGAGAGGGTAGAGGGATGGCAGCCTGCGTCTGTGGGGATGAGCCTGTGCCAGCTGGGTCTTGGCCAACACCAGGCCTGGCCCAAGGTTGGGGGTAGGGGGAGGGTTAGTCCTCCTAACCTCAGAGGGGCGGCAGTGTCCCCTGCTGGGGCCACAGAGGAGGGACAGGCCTGGAGCCAGGACACCCACACTGTTGGCTGAAGCCAAGAAAGGCCATTTTTCTGTGCTGCTTTTTTCCTTCTTCCATAAGACTGGGCATGGAGACAGCACCCACCTTTTTTTAAAATATATTTTTATTGATTTTTCACAGAAAGAAAGAGAGAGAGGGATCGAAAGTTAGAAACATCGATGAGAGAATCATCAATCAGCTGACTCTTGCACGCCCCCTACTGGGGATGTGCCCGAAACCAAGGTACATGTCCTTGACCGGAGTCGAACCTGGGACCCTTCAGTCCACAGACCGACGCTCTATCCACTGAGCCAAACCGGTTTCGGCATCACCCACCTTTTTTGTTATCATCACTATCACCCCCTCCACTCTGTCCTCACTGCTCAGTCCTGGGAATGAGCTCTGCTAAACTGGCCAGCTGTCCCTCCCCCCTCCTCCCTGACTCCCCCCACCCAGCTCCTGGTTGTGCTCCCACACCTCCCAGCAAGGACAGGCTGCGCCCGAGGGTTCTCCCCTGCCTGGCACTCTGCCCTGACTTCCTGGGGAACAAGGGGCCTATGTGTCCTTTCACTGAAGCGGGGCCGGGCCCTCCTCCTCTCAAACTCTGGCCTAAGGAGGGGTGGGATGGGGTGGGACCAGGAGAACGTCCCAGTGGAGGGGGCCACACCACTGGGCCCCCGTTCTCAAAAATGACTCTCCCTGAAGCCAGAGCACTGGCCACTCTGGACCCTCCTTCCCCACCGCACTGGCCCTGGTCCTCAGCACGGGTCCCAGACGTCCCAGCCGGGCAGGAGGCTTTCCTGCACAGCCCAGCCTGCTCACTCACCCCTGACCAGCAGGTGCGACAGAGCTGGCACCTCTGCCAGGCCTTCGTTTCTAATTGAATTGAAGGCTTCAGGCCTCATTAAAGAACAATTGCGTGTATTATTGTAGGGGGCACTGGAGTTCATGGGCTCCATGTGAAACCTGGGGGCGTATCTGAGGCTGGAGGAAAGCAGGTGTTTCTTTCCTATCAGGTTCAAAAATGGGGAGTTCCCCGAGGACTCCCCAGTCTTTGCAATGCCCTTTGGCAACGATGACAAACCTGCGCTCTTCTCACCCTCCCTCTCTCCAGCGTACCCGAACCTGAGAGTCCCACTGGGCGCCTTCCTCAGCGCCATCAGCCCTTCGGGGGGCACCGTGTTTGTTTCCTGGGTCCCTTCCCCGCCTCGGGCCTGGCCCTTCAGGACTCCTGCCCAGGTCTCCTTCACACCCAGCCCACACATGGCCACAGGATGATTGAAAACAAGTTTCGTTATGTGCTGGTCCCTCCCCCAGGAGCGTGCCTAGCATTTCCAGATCTTCCACCACCACCAGCAGCAGCCAGATTGTGTCACTCCTTCCCCCTCTGCACCTCAGGGCTGTTGTAATTTTGCAACATATCTTTAAAAATTTTGTTTTGTTTTATTTCAGGGAGAAAGAGAAAGGGAGAGATAGAAACATCAATGATGAGAGAGAATCATTGCTCGGCTGCCTCCTGCACGCCCCACACTGGGGATGGAGCCCACAACCCGGGGATGTGCCCCCGACTGGAACAGAACCTGGGGCCCTTCAGTCCGCAGGCCAACGCTCTGTCCACCGAGCCAAACCAGCCAGGGTGCGATATGTCTTTTATCGTGTTCTTACCTTAGCCGCTACCGGACTATCATGTTTTTCAGGTTAGAGTCCTCTATTAAAGTGCAGGACTGGCTCCCAGAGGTATTAAAAAAATGTTTGCTGCGTGCATCTGCTTGTTCCTCTCACGCAGTCTCCACACCACCTGACTCTAGCTCGGGGTAGCGCTCACTTCACGGGGTAGAGACGGGCATTAAGTAGGCTCCTCAAGCCCAGCTGTGGTTTGAAAGAGGAAAAGACCTTTAGCCGAAACCGGTTTGGCTTAGTGGATAGAGCGTTGGCCTGCAGACTGAGGGTCCCGGGTTCGATTCTGGTCAAGGTCATGTACTTTGGTTGCAGGCACATCCCCGGGGGGGGGGGGGGGGGGTGCCGGAGGCAGCTGATCAATGATTCTCTCATCGATGTTTCTAACTCTATCCCTCTATTACGCTCTGTAAAAAATCATTAAAATATATTTTGAAAGAAAGAAAGAAAGAAAAGATCTTTAGGTGAGGTATTTTCCTCTGCAGGTACTTATGTTGATGTTGATGAAAATTACCAGAATATTTTTCCCAAAAATTACTGCCTCAGTCTCCTTCCAGGAGGGCAGGGGGTTTTCTAATGCAAGTGACAGGAAGTTTGCCTTGTCACTCATTTCCATTCTCCTGACCTCTGTTTTCACCCCAAAAACAGTGGAGCAGGAATTAGAAAAAGCAACTCCCAGGTCTCCTGCCTGCTCAACTGCAGTGATGGATCCTACCACAAGTGGGCGCTCTGTACACAACACTGCGTGGGATTAAAAACATTTTTTTTTAATTTTATTATCTTTGTTGAAAGTATTACAGATTTCCCTCTCCTCCTCCCAGCTCCCGTCCCGCCTGTGGGATTTTATTGGGCCTCATCACTTTCCTTCCCGAACGTTGCTTCATGTGAGGGGGGTAGGTCCGAGCATGAGAATTGGCCAAGTATTCCTGATTCTGCCACGGCTTGTGCCACCTTCTAGATGGCATTTCTGCCGGAGGTATCAGTCTGCATTCAGCTACTGTCCGCCCTGGGGTGACTGCCATCCCAACACAGAAATTACTCTCTAGTTTAATCTTACATGGTGAAATGGGGAGGGAGGAAGGGGGGCTTTAAAATTTCAAAAGGCCAGGACTCCCAGTAAAATGAGCAGTCAGGCCGAAACCAGTTTGGCTCAGTGGTAGAGCGTCGGTCTGCGGACTGAAAGGTCCCAGGTTCGATTCTGGCCAAGGGCATGTACGTTGGTTGCGGGCACATCCCCGGTAGGGGGTGTGCAAGAGGCAGCTGACCGATGTTTCTTTCTCATCGACGTTTCTAACTCTCCCTCCCTCTCCCTTCCTCTCTGTAAAAAATCAAAAAGTATTTATATTTTTAAAATGAGCAGTCAGCCTAGGATACAACTGATAAATGTATCTGTTCTATGGAAAGGATGGTGAGGGCAGTATAATGAGGGGGGGGGAACAATTACTGGGAACCAATTATTAGAATGTTAAACTATGTGATCCAAAATGGATGTAAGTAGAGAAATGCAGTCACTATATATATATATATATATATTGATTTTTTATAGAGAGGAAGGTAGAGGGATAGAGAGTTAGAAACATCAATGAGGGAGAGACATCGACCAGCTGCCTCCTGCACACCCCCCACTGGGGATGTGCTTGCAACCAAGGTACATGCCCTTGACTGGAATCGAACCTGGGACCTTTCAGTGTGAAGGCCAATCTCTATCCACTGAGCCAAACCGGTTTCGGCAAGAAATGCAGTCACTTTAAAGAGAGCCCTGCTCTCTGGCCAGCAGGCCCTGCCTCAAAGAAACATCTCGAGCCTGGGAGAGTGGAGGTCTGAGGGCGGTCAGCCAGACAGCGGATCTGAGAGGGAGGCCCGTCTGGTTCCTGAGGCATGTTGGCAGTGAGTGGTGACGTGCACCTCAGACAGGCAGAGCTCACACCCCCCACCCCCACCAGCGGCCTGTGTCCTAGCTGGGCTCTCTGTCCACGTGACCTGGCTTACTACTGGGTCCCCTCTGAGAGGGTGTGTTCACTGAGCCCTCTGAAGCCTTGGCCGGCCTGGTGCCCCCTGTCCACGAGCCAGTTGGCATTCTGGCTCCAGACTGCAGGGCGAGTGCTCAATGAGTCAGCAGGACCCCACGAAAGTGGAGCATCTGCCTGTGGCAGCGCCTTCTCCCAGGCCTTTCTATGGCGTGGTGGGGTGCCCAGGGCTGCCAGGTACCAGCCGTGGGACCCTGGACAAATCACTTATCCTCTGTGACCCAGCTCCTTGTTCTTAAAAGGGGCTGGCAGGCCCCTGTGGCTCCGGATGAGCGTGGACCCATGGACCAACAGTTCACCGGTTGGATTCCAGGCCAGGCCACATGCCGGGTTTGTGGGCTTGATCTCCAGTAGGGGGCGCGCAGGAGGCAGCATGACCGATGTTTCTACTCCTTTTCCTTCCTCTCTAAAATCAATATAAAAACTTTTAAGACGGGCTATGCGCCTGTGGCCTTGCTAAGGGAATGAAGGGGGTTTGGGGAGAGCCTAGACTCAGAGCGAGGGCC